CTCCTTTTCACTCCGTTTGCACAATTTGATGGCATTTGGAGAGCTTCAAGCAAGCAGAATAGAGCATGGGGATATTTGTTATGTTTGCAAGCTACAAAATCCTGCTCACATTGTGGGTTGAACACTTTGTACTCAGTGAATTATATGTATGTGCTATTTTAGCTTCTCTACAGGAGCATTTACTGTTCCTATTTTTTCTATTGGTGAAGCAGGTGAGAGATCAGTCATTGGGGAAGACCCTCCTCTATCTCTCTTGATCTAAGTCATCAAGCATGTATCTTTTAATCACTTGCACATGCAGTATTTATGTGCCTCCCACGGGCTATGAATTATTCAACACTCCGATTTCCATATGAGAACAGTGAGAGAAGACACAAGGAAAGCCTAGTCCTTGTCTCTACTCTTCCTATCTCCCTCTGGATCAGTCTCCCTCTCTCATGTACCATTGTCACTCTGGCACATTGAGGACAAAGATGGGGAGAAAACACTCTCCTCCAATCATTGTGCATGTTCTACTCTCAAGGTAAGGATAAGGATAAAGATAAGGATAATCACCTTTATTGGCCAAGTATGTTACACACAAGGAATTTCTTTCTAGTACAGAACCGATGGCAGCCATTTGCGGCGCCACCTCAAGGTGTGTGATTGCAAAAACTGAAGCTGCCAAAACTGCCTCAAAACAAACTGTATTTCCAGTAATTGTGCTTATGAGAAAAAAAAAGAAGTAATTGTACATCTTAGAACAAAACAGCTTTGCTTATGTAAGCAGTCATGTTGCATCTCATATAATTCTTTAAAATGCCTGCAGGGTTTTGTTTCTAATGCAGTAATTATTATTATATGGCAAGAAAATGTGAGCAAAAATGGTACTACATCTGTTTCCTGTTATTCAAAATGTTCCCATTATGTTTCCCTCCACAACTCTGGCCAAATGACTCGTGGTGGCCATTAACAGGTTGCAGTGAACGAGTCAATCTGGAACTATTTTTGTTGCTCACTTATACAGGAAGCTGTGAAAAGCAGACTGTGAATGAAATGGATATTGAGGCAGTTTATTGGAATTTTGCTCAAATGTTGAAAATGCTGTAATTCATGTCCTCTGTAAAAATTGATGGTTTTCCAGGACCAGAGGTGACACATCCATCATGCAGTATATGTTCTCCATCCTATATGGACACAGAGAAGATAAAAAAAATTGGAATTAAAATTGATTGGTCTGTGCCTTGTGTTGCTGGTGGCAGAAGCTGCAGTCATGCATTTGTTCACTAGGAGCAGCCTGCGCTATTTGGATGTTGTCGTCTGCAGGGGAGAGAATGATTTTACTTCATTTTTAAAAAAAACCCTCTTGACAAGATGAAAATCTGTTTTTATGGGGTGTGTAGTGAAATAACTCTACAGTTGTGACAGAAATTATTAGTGTGTCACCCCTTTAAACACCATTTTTGTAGGAAAATAGCATTAATAATACATGAAGAGTGTATGTGTGTGTGTCTGTATGGTTGCTTGTCTGCATGTCAGCCCTGTGATGGACTGGCGTCCTGTCCAGGGTTTACCCCGCCTCTCACCCGATGTCAGCTGGGATTGGCTCCAGCCCCTTCGTGACCTCGTTCAGGACTAAGCAGTATAGATGATGGATGGATGGATAAAACATGGAGAAAAATGCCAATCTGTCTTGAGGTGGTGGCAGTTCTGCAAGCTCCTAATCACAGCCAGGGCTTTGGCAATGTGAAACCTTGGCACACAGACTGAGACACATTGGCAGCTAAGAGATGATTTCCTGCTCTGTCATTTGGGCTCCCACTCAGCCAATCTGCCACTACTGCTGTCTGACTGAGCCTTTCTGGACCCTCGGTGCTGCCACACCCTCTCTCTGCCCCCAACTTGTATCTCTGGAGGTGCATAGAGTAATAAAAGAAAATTACTCATCCCATTAACCCAGTAGGTGGATATACAGTAATGGGATTGACTGTGGTTTATTCTTATGCAAAACATATTTTTAAAAAATCCAACTTTTCAGTGAACCCTAATTTTCAGTGAATTGAGCACGCTGACTCAGATTGTGGCCTGGATGATTTAGAATCAAAACTACTTAATTCAGGGTATAAGATGTGCCATTATACGGTAAATGTGTCTCTGAGCAGAGTGGATGCTCTTGACGATGAAAAAAGACAGGATGTGGAGAGCACCACAGAAAGCACACAAGAATTCAATCTAAAGTTTGTTTTTGTTAATAACTGGATTACAATTATAACACATCACACAAAAAAATGACCAATGCAAATAGTTCAACTGGACCACGAGTGCTTCTATATGATGGCACTGTATGGTATAGTGTTCTCGGAGGACTGACATGTTCTATTCAGCAGGTTTACTGTATCAAGAATCTTTATTGTCATTATGCATAGCACAACTAAATTTTTTAAGGCAGCTCTTGGTTTAAAAGACACATTACTTACATAACACAAAATTGTATAAGTTTGTATGTTTGATAAGTGGCTGTCATGAGTGTTTAAAGTTTAAGTTTAGGACAACAACAATAGTAATAATAATAGGAATAGGAACAGGAATAGGAATAGGAATAGAAATTGTTTTGAACAGAATTTTTAGGCCATTCTGAGATTTGTTTTTTTTAAATGAATGACCACTTAGAGACTGGCTGCTAATTATGAAATAGGACTGAATAAAGGTGCAACAGTAGGCCAGATAGGATTGCCAGATAGGATGGGACTGCCAGCTATTCATAAGAGGGCCCTCAGGGGCCCCACATTCTTTCTGTCAGATAGTTGTAACTTGATTTATTGCAAATTTCTGGGGAAATAGCTACCACCAAGGCATATCATTAACTTTAACATTAATTAACCTCAGACGCCATCACAGCTGCCCTCCATTATTCCCTTTCTCACCTGGAAAATGGAGACTCCTACATCAGGATACGCTTCATTGACTACAGCTCCGCCTTCAACACAGTCCCCCACAAACTCACCCACAAACTGTCCACACTAGGTCTGCACCCCACCCTCTATGACTGGCTCCTAGACTTTTTCACTGGCAGTCCCCAGACTGTCAGGATTGGCAATAGGACTTCAGCCAGCATTGTTACAAACACTGGCACCCCACAGGGATGTGTCCTCAGTCCCATCCTCTACACCCTGTTCACCCACGACTGTGTCGCCTCCCACAAAGACAGCATCATCCTAAAGTTTGCAGACTACACCGCAGTGATAGGTTGCATCACTGGCGGGGACGAAGCAGCCTACAGGAGGGAGGTGGCCAGTCTGGTGTCACGGTGCAAGGACCACTAATAATCTCAGCCTCAACACGGACAAGACAAAGGAGATGATTGTGGACACGAGGAAGGAGAGGAGATCTCATCCGCCACTGTTCATCCAGGGGCTCGAAGTGGAGAGGGTGAGCAGCTTCAAATACCTGGGCGTCCACATCAGTGAGGACCTCACTTGGACACTTAACACCACACAGCTGGTCAAGAAGGCCCAACGGCGGCTGTACTTCCTGAGGAGGCTGAGGAGGTTTGGCATGTCGCCTAGGATCCTAGCAACTTCTACAACTGCATCATTGAGAATTCAGCAGTCACTGCTGCTTCACTGGAATGCCAAGCTAACAAGATTAGCATTTCAAGCAGGGTGGAATCCAAACAGAGCCGAGGAGCCAAAGTCATCGCTGTCAGGAGAAGGCATTAAGACACACAGTATGGTTAAAAAAAAAAAAGACTTATGATTAGTTTTAACCTACTTTGAAGTAGCCATGGTTTTCAAACCTAAACACCTTTTGAGTAACAACTGAAATATAGAGCATCGGTAAGACTACGTGGAGCCTCATTTCACTCCTGACAAGAAGATCAAATGCTAATGGAGAAACAGTTTAACCCATATGAGTTTTTTATTCATGTCTCTTTGGTTTCATTATAGAATGACTCATTTTATCTTGATGAAATCTCAGAGGGAATAGCTTGGGTGTTTGGCAGGTTGGCACCGATAACTCTCTCTCACAGTGCAAGCAATTGTGTTTTTATAAGTAGCAGAAAAAGTGCAGGTGAAAAACTGTGATAGCTTTATGCTCAGTTGTTTGTGGGCTGACATGGCAAGGAGATAAATTGGAAGGGGAATGAAAGACAAAGTCACGAGATGCACCCAAGCTCCCTGACAGAGCTGAAACAGATTAATTAATTGTAATCTGTCAAACGTAGTCTGTGGGATGTTATATTATTCCCACCAGAAAGAAGACTTTATGATATGCAGTTGAACAGGATGCGGAAAACAGCATGCAGGGAGTTGGGGGGGCAACTGACATCATCAACGGCCATAAATCACCTCTTCACATATCACTTTGACAGGCACTGCACTCTATATCTTTTTCAGAATTTACATGGTGATAATTAATATAATGAAAGAGCAAATATTTGCCCTGGGCCATGCAGCACGTTTAATAATCTATGTTTGTAAGAAAAGAAAATTGGGAATGTGGAGCTCCATTATGTGGAGACGTTACTGGACACCAAAATATTGGTGAATTGATGCTTGTTTGCTTTGCTATTGACATTAATTTATGGGTTTCGGACGCCATCTATTGTCATTTAATTGGCAATGCAGTACTGAGTGATGATTTTAACATAATTAACGAGAACATAATAAATTTTAGAATTAGGTCCCTGATATTATGAATTAATTAGTTTGTCTTTTCTTTGCCAGGCTAGGGCTTTTAATTTGGTGTGAAAGTAACACATGATGATTTAGGTGCATCCTGTAAAGCAAAACTTTCAAAAACGTTAACAATATTAAATAATGAGATGCATAATTTATCTTATATCAGATTCACCATGGAATATTGAAAATAATAGGTTTTTAAAAGACTTATTTTATATGTTAGAAGGACCATATATAGATGAGAGGGCTCTAAATGATGTTCAGTTCTTCGGCAAATTTCCAACTATAATTGAAGGCCTCTCAGAAGTCACGTGACCACAGGCTGACTCACGTGAATGAACCAGGAACAAAGTCCTGCAGAGTTGTTTTCCAAGAGCCACTAGAAGATAGGTCAGGATGTTTTTGATATTGTTTGGGTTGTTCCGTGTTTTGTGCCTGTTTGCTGTGTTTCATGTGGCTTGTCTGCTGGACACCGGTATGCTCTTCCCTCGGGAGTCCTCCTCCAGAGAGGTGAAAGAGCTGAACGGGCTGTGGGTCTTCAGGGCAGATAAGTCCCCAAACAGGAACGAGGGCTTCGAGAGGGCATGGTACAAAAGTCGACTGGCACAGGTGAGCGGGACACTAGCAGCACCTCTGACAAAATAAAGCAGCTTGACGGTAAAAAAAAAACATTTTTAATCAGTGACGGTAATCTACATTTTGGTGCATTTTAAACTAACGACCTAAAAGCAAAGTGTAGTCATTACCTTAAATGGAAAACACATGTCGTTATTAATAAATCTACATCTCCATTTGAGATGCATAAGACAGTAAGTCTGCGGAAAAAAATATAGATAGATGCGAGTTATTACTATCAGTCTCTTAGTGGGTAGTACTGCAAGACCACTGCTTAATGGGACCATAACTTGATATCTTATGTCTAAATTAATATCGGTTTAACACACACCTGTTGAAACATCATTATAATACCACACTAAGGTGTTCCCAACCAATTTGATTTTTGGTTTTGACCACTTAAAATGAAGCAAATTGGTTTTGTCCTTTTGTGTGGACATTTGTTGTGAGCATTAGGGTGGTTTTTCTCTTCTTCTCAGATTGTTTGACGTTTTAGAGGCCTGAAGATATACTCGGGATCAAGTCATCAAAATACAGTCAGGTACATAAGTATTTGGACAAGGACACAGCTTTTGTAATTGGAATTGGGATTCACCTATAGTCTCCCATTTTCAGAGGCTCAAAAGACAGACATGCAGTTTTGTGGCCAGGGGTGGCTTGTTTCCTCATTATTTCATGACAGATTTAGCAGATAAAAGGTTTCGAAATGATTTCAAGTGTTGAATTTGCATTTAGCAGTTGTCCATTGGAATTTTCAATATGTGGTCCAAAGGTGCAAGCGAAGGAGGCTATCTAAGGCCTAGAAAAACAAAACAAAACAAATTTATCTGAGACAGCAGAAACTTCAGGAGTGGCTGAGTGAACAACTTGGTACATTCTCAAAAAGAAGGAATGCACTGGTGAGCTCGGCAACCCCAAAAGGCCTGGAAGACCACGGAGGACAGCCAAAGTTGGTGTCCTACAATCAAGAGGTACCTTCGTGAATATAAATACAGAGGATTTACCTCAAGTGGTAAAGAGTGCAAACCACTGGTAGCATTCAAGAACAGAAAGTCCAGATTAGACTTTCACAGAAAACACTTAAAATAAACCTGTCCAGACCTGGAAGCAGATTTCCTCAACAGATGAAACCAAGATTAACTTGTACCAGAATGATGGGAAGAGGAAAGTATGGAGAACAAAATGAAGGGCTCATGATCCAAGGCACGCACCATCATCTGTTACACATGGTGGAGGTAGTGTTGGACTTGACCAGTCCTGCGTGTTCTTTTATGAAGAATGATCAAAGTCAAATCTGTCTTTAAGATATTTATTACAATATTCAAGAAAAGCAATACAGAGCTCTGGGTTCCGTCTCTATCTGAGGCCCTGATCCTAAACCGTTCAACTTGCCTTCAGGACAAGAGGAAGCCTATTCTCCTGGACCCAGCGAGTTTATACAATCATAAATATGCAAATGTAGGTAGATCTGGCGTCATCCGTGTTGTCCTTCATCCTCGTTCCTTGGTCGGTTTGTTGACCTCGTTCTGACCCCTTATTGGTGGTCTTGTTGTCAGGCAGATTGGATTCTGTGAAATTCTGAGAACATCCTGACCTTCTGAACCAGACATTGCACACCTACATACGTCTTACAAACGGTTAGTTATTGTCTGCAGTTTTAGGGACAGCATCTCTGGCTCATGACTCATATCTCATCTACCCTTGTGACTGGCAGCGTTGCTATGCAACCTGGCCTTGTTCCTGTTTATGTTTCCTGTCTGATTCTTACAGCCTACACTTGTTCTGTTATTATCAGCCATAAGCCTCCTGCACTCTTAAAGACAAATTAAATGGTTAACTGAAAGGCAATTAGACACATACTCACACACGGCATTTCAAGTGCACAGCCCAAGCAATTACAAAGGTCAAGCTGATTAAACAATCTTTTAAGCAGTTTTGCAAATACATAACATAGCACTATATTATTTTGTCAAGAATTTCTTTCTACAGTAGTGTGTGGCTTCCGGTGTAAATGGATGACTGGTGTTTATTGATAATGTGACTGCTGATAGAAGTAGGATTCGGTCATGTTCATGGGTTTCAGACTTAGTTTGTACATTTAGTTTTGAGCTTCTAAAACTTCTTCTTTCTTTGAGCTTCTAACAGATCATAAAAATGGGTGTAATTCCTAAAGGATTAATGTGATATTATTGTGAAACCCCTTAAAGTTGAAAGTCTACACTTCTAAAACCTATTGATTGCTTTATTTCAAATCTATTAGAGTGGTGTACAGAGGCAAAATGGCAAAAATTGTGCCCATGTCCAAATATTTCTGCACCTGACTGCATGAGCAAAATGAAGATCAAGTAAAATACAGTACACTTATCATGGTGTTATTGTTTGTGTTGATTATTCTCCTTCCAATAACTGCAAACTCACCACTGAGTACAGCAGTTGACACAGTTGAAATAAAACGCTGTCTTTTCATTGAAGTTTTACTTTCCCTAAGACCGGCCCCGTGATTGACATGCCAGTCCCTGCCAGCTACAATGACATCACACAGGATGCCACTCTGAGAGATTTCGTTGGCTGGGTGTGGTATGAGAGAGAGGTGGTGGTGCCTGCCCGCTGGGTCACAGATGAAGGAGTAAGAGTGGTTCTCAGAGTGGGAAGTGCTCACTATTTTTCAGTGGTGGTGAGTAACACCAAAGTCGTCTACATCAGTTGTTTGAGATATTACACAGAATGGTGTAAATACTTCCATGAGTCTTTCCTGAGTTATTCTGCCAGTCCCATTATATCCACATACTGGGTTAATGGCATGAGCCTTCTTCATAATCACTGTCTTTACCTTTGCAGTGGGTGAATGGGTTGAAAGTAGCAGAACATGAAGGTGGCCATCTTCCTTTTGAGGCTGAGATAGGCACTTTAATTCGCAAGGACCCAACTACGCCATGCAGGATCACCATAGCTGTCAACAACACTCTGACTCTGAACACTCTTCCGCCGGGAACCATCCAGCACATGGATGACCACACCAGGTAACTTCACCTAACTTTTTTAGTTTTAGTTTAAAAGAAAAAAACACCTACTTGTTTGCACTTTCTGTTACTTGTAAATACTGCTTATTTTTGTTATATTACACAGCCTTATGCTGGTTTACTGTTTGCACATTGAAAGCCGATGTACCAGACTCAAATTCCTCGTGTGTCCAACACACGTGGCTAATAAAGCAGATTCTGGTTCTGTTTCTGATTTTTGTCTTAATCCATTAGTGTGTTAGCTTAATTGATCTTAAGCAGGTTTAGCATTTAGATGGCACATGTTGTGATTCTTATGCTCAGTCTTTTACAGTATTGGCTACCACCTTTTTCAAGACCTGCAATTAAGACTTAAAACACCTTATTGGTTTTTTCATAGCTTACAAGTTTTGAGAAATGACATTTTAAGTGTTTTACATTTTTTACATTCACACTTTACACATCACAAGTGACTCTTCAACTTGCTTTCAACAGTTTATCAGTGACTTTGACTTTTGCTTTATAGTATTTAGAAATTGAAAAAATTCAGCTGCTCTCAGCATGTGCAACATATTTAAATGAGTGCACAGCTCCAGTCATGCTTAAATTTATTTTTAGTGCTTGAAATACAAATGATATATGAACCTTGAACCTGCCTTTCAGCAGTTACACTTCAAATGACATTTCAGCTGCTTTTAGCTCTTAAACCTTACCTTAAGTGACATTACAGTACATCTCATTTGGTGACATGGTCTCTATTCACTTCTTGCATTTACTGTAACTCCTTTCTTTGCTTACATGTCAGCTGGCACTTCAACTCGTTTTGGCTCAATTTCTCATTTTAAAGTATTTAATGTGCTCAGCGAGTATTCAGATGATAAAAAATGTAAAACTCAACAGGTATCCTGATGGTTTTTTTGTGCAAAACATCTACTTTGATTTCTTCAACTATGCTGGAATACATCGTCCTGTCCTGCTGTATACAACCCCAAAGGCTTATGTGGATGACATCACAGTGGTGACTGACTTCTTGGATAACATAGGTAAATGAGTGCATGTAAATACAATGAAACAACTAATATTTCTTTTCAAACCCTCAGTAGCACCACAGCATTTGTAAGAGATGAAACTAATGCTTTGCAGAAATGTGTGTAAATCATGATTATGCCTGTGTTTTCAGCATTGCTGTTTCCCCTGTCTTTTAGGTCTAGTCAGTTACAAAGTGTCAGTCCAAGGTGCTGCCACAGCCACTGTGAAGGTCACTTTGATGGACAAAGAAGGACACTGTGTGGCCTCCTCCAGTGAGCCATCTGGAGTGCTCAAAGTAGTGGATGTCAAGCTGTGGTGGCCGTACTTGATGCATGAGAATCCAGGTTATCTTTACTCTATGGAGGTAATACAGCATGTTCACATACATGTCAAAGTGACCTTTGCCACAGGATTTGTGAGAGTAGTTACGGAAGCAGATTATGAAAAGAATCACCTTTTATTAATTATAGTTGATTAGTGTGGGTAAACGGCATTTCATGCACTCAACTGCACATTTACCACCGGGAAGAAGACAACTTCCATTTTACACTGATCAGGCATAACATTATGACCACCTATCTAATATTGTTTACATAGGAGTCAATGTGACAGTTGTTTGGCACTCGTGTCACTCTGCAGCTCACTGTGCATCTTCTGTGAATCCATTTGCTTCCACAGTTCTACTGTGAGGAAGAGCACAGATGTGTCTACAATTCAGTGAAAAACTTATGTAAAAGGAGTGAAAACTGTGGTTGTGAGGACGAGTTGGAGAGAATTCTTTAGACAAATCCAACAGCCCCACCACTCTAGGTGTGATATCACCACTACAGCCCCTGACTCTTTCTCTTCATAGAGACCAATGTAAAGTATATCTCATTTTCAACCATTTTAACAAAGATTCAAATAAGTTTTAATCTTTAGAAAAGTACAAATGGAAGTTAAAAGTTTAATCTACAGTAGATCAACCTCATCATCAGTGAGCCGTGGGCGTCCATGACCCTGTCTCCAGTTCACCGTTTGTCCTTCCTTAGACACTGTTGGTAGGTACTAACCACTACAGACCAACAACACCCACAGAGACCTGCAGTGTGGGAGATGATCTGACCCAGTCATCTCAAAGTCACTCAGATCCTTACACTTGCCCATTTTTCCTGCTTCCAACACATCAACTTTGAGGACTCAATGTTCATGTAGGAGTCAATGTGGCACCCCACACACTGACAGGTGCCACTGTAACAGATAGTCAATGTTATTCACTTCACCTGCCACTGGTCATAATGTTATGGCTGATCAGTGTATTATGAAGCTAAGGTCAGGAGACTCGGTGGCGGTTCTACATTCAATTACATTGAAAAAAAAACACTAAGTCTTGCACAGTGACGTTTTACTGTAACAATATAAGTGTAAGACAAACGTCTGTCTCAATTGCACAAATCCTTCAACAGGACATTTGAAAACCACAATTCTGGTTGCATACCTTTTATCCTTTGCTCGTTTCTCCTCTTCTTCTTTTCTGTTTTTCCTAATTTGGGCACCTGACAGCTTTGACCAGTGGACCGTAAACTTCTGAATAATATGTGCAACTGTAGTCAGAGGAACATCAGGCTGATTGGAGATGGTCTTATAGCCTTTACCTTTTAACATGTTTGTCTATAATTTTCTTTCTAATCTCCTGAGACAACTCTCTCCTTAGCTTTCTGTGGTCCATGTTCAGTGTGGTACACACCATGATACCAAACAGCACAGTGACTACTTTACACCCTCTAAATAGACAAACTGACTGATTACAAGTTTGAAAACACCTGTGATGTTAATTACAGGACACACTTTAGTTTAAACATGTCTCTATGGTCAAATTATTTTCAATCCTTTCTAGGGGTACCATCATTTTTGTCCACGCCAGTTTCATTACTTTGTTTTTTAAAATGGTTATGTTGAACCAGAATTCAAAAGCAATGACTGATTTTCATTAGTTAATTTTCAGTACATTTTTATTTATTATTATTTTGTCAGTTTCATGTCATTTCAGTGACCATTGTGAGTTTCTTTAACAGAAGGGTACCAACAATTTTGTCCATGTGTGCAAGTCTTGATCCTAAATATTGCACAGTCAGATAACAGGAACAGATATTGTAACCTACAGTACCAAAGGTTTTGAACATAGACTAGAAACAGCATTCTGTTTACAACTTTACCTTGTACACGTTCATGTTCATGCAAAGTTATCGGGGGGCCTGTTTCTGACCTTGGTACATTCATTTCAACATCCAGGTTCGCTTAATGGCTGCTGATGAGAGATCAACGTATGAAGATGTGTATACGCTAACAGTTGGCATCCGCACTGTTAGTGTTACCAGCACCCAGTTCCTCATCAACAAGAAGCCCTTCTATTTCCATGGAGTCAATAAACATGAGGACTCAGATGTGAGTACCACTAGGGGGAAGCAAAACCTTGACCAAACAACTCCCTCACCCTTAGCCTTGCAGCTGTTCTAATATTTATTACAGAGCTACCTTCGCTAAACAATTTCTGATTAGACATAAAATGTGTGTGGTAGATTCGAGGTAAGGGTTTGGACTGGCCTCTGATTGTCAAAGACTTTAACCTGTTGAAGTGGTTGGGGGCCAACTCGTTCCGCACCAGCCACTACCCTTATGCTGAGGAGATCTTGCAGATGTGTGATCGCCATGGCATCGTGGTGATAGATGAGTGCCCAGGGGTGGGCATCAAAGACATGTAAGTGTCACTGCTCACATCTCTGTCACCCTCATGTGCTTTTGAGGGTTCAGGGTGGTCAACATGTTAGTCACTGAATAGTTACAATATCTGGGCACTTTAAGCCAAATTTCATTCGGTTTTTGTTAAAGTTGCAAGTGATCCAGTTCTTTATTTTGTCATTTCCTGTTTTGCCAGTTATAATATCTGTTCCTTTTTATCTGACTGTTCAATATTTAGGATCAAGACTTGTGTGTGTGTGACTGCTGTTAAATCAAAGCAACATAAAATGTATGCAAAAAAAATTCTAGTCTAACACTATTACAAGTCATGCCACTTAGAATAGTTAAATGGAAATTATAGTGAACAGGAAATGTTAAAATAAAGAACTGGATCACTTGCAACTTTAACAAAAACCTAATGAAATTTGGCTTAAAGTGCCCATGACATGCTCATTTTGCTGGTTTTCAGCCATTTAATGTTTAATTTTGGGTACCTCTAGATTAGCTTGGCACTCCTGATAATTCCAAATAGTCTGCAATTATATCAGAATGATAAAACCAGAGCCTCTTCCTAAAAATGAGGATAGTTTGTGAACGCGCACAACTCCTGCTGTCGGCATTGCCTCGAAAGCAGACAACATAACGAACTGTAATGGCATTAATTAATTTGAATTTCTCCTTCACAGATACTGTAGGTAGACAACGGTTTATGTACCAATGAAAAGAGAAGTGTAGCACTCTAAACAAAGCAGATAGAGAAACCCCATATTTTAACTGGCATAGTGCAGACATAGTAACTTCTCCAGCCTTACAACAATTCTCTCTAACGTTACAGAAACAAGGCATTAACAGACATGCAATGTGTTTTGTTTTGTTTATTTTTTACTTACCACTAAGTCCCACCAAGTAGTGGAAACATCACTCCCTTTCAAGTAGCTCCAAGGTCCATAAATGCAACCGGAGGTAGTGTAGCACAGACAATAACATCATGGGTCATTAATCTGCTCGTTAACAAGCAACACATCACATGCTGCAGACAAAACAAACAGGTACTGTGCTCTGGGGGAATCCAGCGTTGATGAGCTCATCATTCACTGCCCCAGGGGGCTTCACTGGCTGGGTAATAGACCTGGTCAGGTAAGACGGTGGGTCCCTGTACAGGAACATTCCTGGACATGCAATAACCTCATGCCCTGTATTCTTCTCCACATCCTCTGGTCACAGTGCAGGCAACGGGAGGGAAAACATATCCACCAAACCGGGCGCAGTTGAAAAACTCCACTCTTACAGTGGCACTGGTGGATATCAGGCAATGGATACGATTCCCTTTATGTTGTGCCATCATCCAGCCAAAATGATGAATTTGTCCTGTAATGTGGTTTATGCTCAAATACCTACAAAACTAAAGACTAAGAGGCCTAACTAAGATAGTGACCATAGTAAACATGCTAACATCAACATGTCTGCAGCGTCACTGTGAGGATGTTAGCATATGGACTTAGTCTTGGTATTTACATGTGCTAAGATAGAAGCTAACAGCTGTATGAGTCTTCGTTGGTTTTCCTACAGATGTTTGTCAGTGTCTATTTTGGCTTGTGGCCTGGTATGCGAATCTATCAACTCAGCCTGTGCTGTCTCTCCTGTGCCTTACTGAGCTAGTCGTAGTTTTGGAAACGCCTCCCTCACCCATCACTTGGTTGTCATGGATGAGCTTGTGCGCAGGGATAAGAACCATCCCTCTGTGGTCATGTGGTCCGTAGCCAATGAGCCTGCTGCAGAGATGTCCCCTGCTGAATTCTATTTCAAGTAAGTAATTTTTTTTTTTTTTGATGTGAAGCACTACACTGTATGGATCACCTCACAGAATTGTTCATACACAATATGAACAGTGCCAGTTGTGGATGATAAGCAGTCACTGTTTTTCTACCCCAAGTATGCCACTTGTGTGTGCCTTGAAATTCTAAAGGTTGAATTTTTTTTTTTCTTGCATTTTTTTCCAATTATACCTGGATTTGATGGTTAAAAGTATTCGTGGTGGAGAACTAGGCTATCAGTACGTGCCTGAAAGCCCCAGACTTATTTAAAATTTTTTAAAGCATTTGTAAATGGTCTGTATGGATGTCTGTAGAAGTACTGTTCTCGTCAGTCTCAGACTGTGCCTTTACTTTGATCTGTGGAATGCAGTGAGAGTAGTCATGAGGCTAGGGCTCAGTATCAGCCTGAGGCTTCAGAGAGAAAAACAGAGCAGACAAATATACAACCTATTCAGCTACTATATTTAGTAGGTAAAGCAGTATGCTGCATCAGTTTTGTATCATTGGCGTGCAGGCATTTTGGGCAAAGTTAAGATGTGGTTTTAGGGTTCAGGGTAGAATTAGGCATAGGTTAGGGTTCCTAAGGAGGAATGCATTATGTTAGTCATCACAAAGATAGCTGTACAAAGTGTATACATTAATTCTAGAGCACAGTTTCTTTAAATTAGATAATTAACAGAACAGTTTGAATCAAATGTTATCTATTTTTGACATTGAGGTTATTCATTATATCATTGTAATGTATTTGATTTGATTGGATGAACTGCACTTTTGCAGTGTAGTCACCTTTGTATGTGTTTGTTTATTTTTTTTTTAAACAGGACATTGATCGATCATACTAAAGCTCTGGACCCTACCAGGCCTGTCACTTATATCACGGACAGTAACTATGCCAGGGACAAAGGGGTGAGTTTTTACAGTATCAGCAGTATGCCAAAGTAAATTCCTGCACAGCACATTGATTATTGGTCAGATATCAAATGCAACATACTTTGAGTTGTTTTAATCCTGCTAGATTGACCCAAATTATAAATGAGTAGAAAAAACAAAACAAACATTTAAAGTCCTTCAAGCATTGGTTTAGAATCCTAAGGTTTTTCAGAAACGCTAAATATTAACGAATAAACAAGAACCAGAGTTTAACTTTAGAGAATACTTTGTTGATATTACTGTGATTTGATCAGATTTTACTGACTGTGATGGCATCTAAACAAACCACCCCACAGCTATAGCCATATCCTGATTCAGATGTTGCTAAATTGGTGCATGTGTGCAAGTGACATCACCTTTTTCCATGTAAGACAAATACAATAAACTGAAGTCTTGTGAATTAACCAAAACTTTTAACACTGGAAAAATAAAGAAAATGGTGCATTCACATAGGACCACATTGGTCATATTCTAAAAGTGATGCAGAAAATGTTTTCAGGGTCTCTAAAGACAACCACTGATGATACTATCAGACACATTATTCTTAAATGTTTTG